GAAAAGGCACTCCAGAGAGCTAAACACTGGTAGCACCTCATGCCAGGGCTCACAAAATGAGACGGGAGCTGGGTTCCCAAGAGCAGTGAGCCTGGAGAAACTGATGGTGATCATCTTCCATGCAGCCTTGTCAACTGTGGCCTCACATCCATCTCCTATGAGTACCTGGCCTCAGTGCTCAGTGCCAGCTCCAGCCTGGCTGAGCTGGACCTGCAGCTGAATGACCTGGGCAACTGTGGTGTGAAGCAGCTTTGTAAGGGGATCAGGAATCCAGACTGCAACCTCAGAATCCTGTGGTAAGTAAGACCCCAAGATTCCTTCTGGGCAGAAGGTAAAGCAATGGACACAGGTGTATTATTAGATGACAAGACATAGAAATGAAAAGGGACAGATAATGCACAGTCAGCCTGGCTCCTGGCCAGGTGTGCCACGACTACTCTGGGACTTGGGTAAGTCATTATCTTCTTTAAAACTCGGTTTCCTCATCTATTAAATAAAATGTCACACCCACCTCAGAGATTGTAATGACACAAAATGTACATATGTAAAAACAAAGATAATACCAAGTGGGTAGCTGGGCAGTGTGGAATCATATGCATTAACAAGGCTATATATCCCGAAAGACTCCCAGGTTTGCCTTAGTCCAGGACAGTGATTTCCTCAATTATTCATCCATGAATTCATGCATGCATGCATTCATATCAGGACTTCTATGTGTAAGCATTGATCCAGACCCTAGGGATACAATTACAAACACACGTGGCTCTGTCCCTCTGAAGCTATGTGGAAAGAGACAGACATAGGTCACCCATCAGCACATGACTCTGTACTGACAAGCTCTGCTGAATGCTGTGGAGTCAACAGTATTGTGAGAATGTCATGCTGTGAGAGATTCCACATTATTGAATGGCTCAGGAGGGTTTTCTGAGTCCTGAAGAAAAAGTATGATTTGGGTGGGCCAAGCCGAGGCCAGGGCCCAGACAGAGGCAGAGTTGGGGAAAGCTCTGGAAAAGAAAGAGGCAAAGGCCTAGACAGTCACCATGTTTCACTACAGCAGCCTGAGATAGTCCTCTGTACCAGAAATGGTGCCATTCCCCCTGAACTACAGTTTCACACAAGCTCAGAAACCTCCAAACTAGAGCCCTGGAGACCCTGGTCCTCCACTCAGCCCCTTCATGCCGTCTCTGAGCTTCTCCCTCTCCTGTGCCTCCACCTCCCCAGCACAGGCCACAGCCAGTTTCTAGTGAACTTCCCAGAGGTTGCTGGCCAGTGCCCTTCATGGGCTCAGAGAACCACAGAGGCTCCCGATCCCTGTACCCAGAATCTTCTGGTTCTTCCAGTTAACAGGAGTCCAGCAGGCCTGTTCCCTAAGACTTCCTTTGTCAAGCCTTCTTCAACTCTATTTTGTTATTATTATGTTATTTATGTATATATATATATATATGTATATATGTGCATATATATATGTATATATGTGTGTGTGTGTGTGTGTGTGTGTGTGTGTGTGTTTGTGTGTGTGTGTGTCACTGGTTCTCAAGCCTCCTAGTGCTGTGACACTTTAATAAGTTTCTCATGTTTTGGCAACCCCAAACCATAAAATTATTTCTTCTTTACTTTATAACTATAATTTTGCTACTGTTATGAATTGTAATATCTGATGTTTCCAATACTCTTAGGCAACCTCTGTGAGAGGGTCATTAGACACCTCCACACACAAGTCGCAAACCACAGGTTGAGAACCACTGGTATATATGAGTATAGGTGCCCCCAGAGACTAGAGGAGTCAAAGTCGCCCAGAACTGGAGTTACAGGTGGATATGAGCTGCCTGATGTGGGTTCTGGGAATTGAACTCAGGTCCTCTAGAAGAGCAGTATGTGTTCTTAACCACTGAGCCATCTCTCCAGCTCTCTGGTTTGAATGCATGGGAGCAGTTGGGCAGTGAAAGGGTCTTCTTTCCACCTCTCTGGGAGCTGAAACTGGCCCAACTGCTTGGCACCTTTGTTCCCCAGCCTGCTTTGAGCCATGACTGTTTCTCACAGGCTGAAGAGCCTGTTCAGAGCTGGTGTCTGCTGCGTGTGACATGGCTCAGCCTCTCACAGGTACAGGACCATTTCTCCTCCATCCTTGTCTGTGCCTCACAATAGGCAGATGGGAGTGATATAGCTCTGGTTATGGACTGAGAATGTGAAAGCCCAGAGAAGGTCACTGCTCTGACACCCAGAAATCCTGGAACCTGAAGGTCATAAGAATGGGACCAACAGACCTAAGGTAGTGGCTGCTGTGTAAGGAAAATGCTTCATCGCTTAGCACTAAAGAAAAGGGGGAGGGAGGTAAGAATGGAACCAAGGCTCTTTCCCTCAAGGAGAATACCGGTGATCCCAGCACCTTGTGTTTACTTTGAAGAACTGCCCAGATAGGGAGCATGGCAATATGGCCATGACCTCCAGCTACTAAGAATGCTGATGGCTACTCCGTGGCCCCTTGTTAATATGACTCCCCTCATCTATGGCCATGTTCCCTTCCCTAGGACAGTCTTTCTCCAATGACCAACCTGTGGGGAAGGGGCTATAAATGTCAAGACCCTTATTTCAGCTCTGGAAAATTCCAAAGGTCCTCATCCTGGCTTCAGATTTCCCTACACAATGACCAACCTTTGACCAACAATGACCAAGAATAATACGGCTCCTCACTGACTCCATCTATGGACAACATCTATGGACAACAGAGCCCAGAATTCTGGACCCTGAGACCTCATGATCCTGTGGTGGATCTCAGAAGAAACATCCCCCTCTTGTGCTTACAGGCTGGACCAGGCCCCTCTTAGTGACCAGGTGATGATGAAGCTCAGGGCCCTGGAGGCAAAGAATCCACAGCTGCTCATTTCCAGTACATGGTAAGGAGTGGGCACAGAACTCCTATAGGTCAACCCAGGCCCTATGTGGCTGGTCCAGAGCTGAGAGGTGGGAACAGGGTCCTGAGATGATGGAAAAGACAAACAGATCCAGAGATCCAGGAACCACAGCAACAAGAGTGAGATTGTGTGTGTGTGTGTGTGTGTGTGTGTGTGTGTGTGTGTGTGTGTGTGTGTGTAATAGTTATATGACCTTAAGAAATAGAACCATATAACATGTCTTCTTAATTTCTTCAATTGGAAAAAAAAGAATATGAAAAGCTGATTTAGTGGTGAATCCTCTGGCACAGCAAGTGTGATAATAGTAGATAAGAGTAGCCAGCAGTGAACCCAGACCACTGGACAATGAAAATAGTCACCACACCAAGGAGAGAAAGACATAGACAGAAAGACTCTTAAGGAAAAAAAAAACCACGATGTGTATCACTGTCCCAACCCCAATACTCAGACACATGTGCACACACACACACATACACACACTGTACTATGGGACTGAAGAGAAGCCACAGGATAGGAAAGTCATCTTCCACTCCAGAGATTGTGCTAAAGCCCCATATTCTTCCACTTTGGCACATTTCATTTCATGACCATTAATCCCATCTGTTCTCAAGTTCCTAGCTGCTGTGACACACTCGAATGGAGGGTGTACTAAAGACTTAGGAGGGTCAGCCACTCATTGAACAGACATTCCTGCAGATCTACTGTGTTTCATACACTATTTTGGGATCTGAGGGCACATCAGTGAACAAGGCAGGCATGACCTCAGTCTATCAGGGAGGAGACATTTGTTCCTCCACAGTCATATAATTGTACCTGGGAAGGATATTAGTGCGGTGCTCATCTGTCTTATCTCATTGAAAGCTGAGGAGAGATGAGGTGAACTCTCAAAGATGGGAAATGAGGGATGAAAAGAAGGAGAAAATTCCAGGCAGACATAGAGGTTCTAAGGAAGCAGAGAGAACAGTGCACATGGGGAAACCATGTGTGCGACCATCTGCTCTGCCTCACTATTACCTGGGAGCTCCACAGAAGTGCAGGTTCTCAGGACCCATTCCATCCCTGCTGACTCAGAATCTCAGGTGGGGAAGCTTCCTTCAGTGAGCTTTCTGACTGAGCAGCCTGTCCAGGTGACATTTGAGCATAGTGATTTGAGAGCCACTGGTCTAGAGGTCAGTGAGCAGGAAAGGGTGACATAGAAGGACCCAGAGGTGAACAGAGACCACAGCAAGAACTATGACCCATCCTAAGAACCTTCTGTTTCTCCCCAGAGGAAATGAGAGGCTTTCTAGCACCTCGGCTATGAAGGGGCATCTCTACCCATTTTTTATGGTGGCTACCACATAGAAAATGAACTAGAAGGAACCAGATCAGAAGCAGGGATGCCTGCCAGAGGATGCTGCAGAGGTTCAGGACACTGCTCACTCCATACCGGGACAAGGATGGAGTCTGTAGAGGGGGAGAGTAGAGAACAGAAAAGAGATCTAGAAGGTACTGTCTAGGTGATTAGCATTGAGGGTGAGTGATTATTAGTTTGTATTGTGCAGTTATAACACAATGTCTGACACTGGGCACTTAACATAAAGAACTTAAGATTATTTCTTGCAGTTCTGGATACAGGGAAGGGTAAGGGCATGGACCCTGCATCTAGAAAAGCCCTTCTTCCTGTTCCATCCAACTGTGCAATTGGGAAGGCTGAGAGTGAGAGGCCAAGGTGGCTTTAGTGACAAGTCCCGTCAGGCCACAGGAATCTATGTCTGTGATGATAACATTAACTCCTTTGTTAAAGCAGAGCACTCATGATCTCACTGTGTCTTATCCTTCATCCCATCAGCACTGTGGCTTTGGGGATTATCCTTCCTATGTATGAACATTGGGATACACATTCAAACTAGAGCAAAGGAAGGGTTGATGTGATGATCCCAGTTCTGGGGTATGGACACCCAGGATAATGGGGGCATTCTTAGAGATACAACCCAGAAAAGAATCATAAGACTGAGTTCAAATTCAAGTGCCTTAGATTTTATGTGGGGATATCATGTACACAACTCCCATTTCTCTGGTTTTTCCTGACATCTGAGGGAAAGAACTTGTCTGTGTGTAGGAAGCCACGTGTGATGGATCCTACGAAGAAGCGGGTTAGAGAAGAAATGGATGATAGCCCAAAATCACGTAAGCGACAGAGACTACAGTCAGGTATGTGATGAGTTCAGACTCAGCATCATGATTGCCAGATGAAGGGACATCTGTGAAAGGAAGTCATCATTTCTTTCTTTTTTAAATTCATTTTTTTATAATTTTAAACATGAGTATGAGTACTGTATTTAGATCATTTCTTTTCCTCTGTCTGCCCACTTGTGACCCGCCTACAAACTCTCTCTCTCTAATTCATGAATTCTTCTTAAATATTATTATTAAATATATGTGTGAATACATACATGTATGCATATGTACATATTAATACAACCTGATGATCCCATTTGGTGTTGGTCATGTATGCATCTTTAAGGCTGACCATTTGGGACTGAATAACCTGTTATGGAGTTCTTTCTGAGGAGAACTGATTTTATTCCTCTATAGTAGCTGTTATCTGTGACTGGGGCCTTGTGAGATTTCCCCCCATCCACAGTATCATGACAACTAGTATTGTCATTGTGCAGATCTTGTAGAGGCAGTGATATTGTTGAGATTTCATGGGTGCAACATCCCTGTCACATACAGAAGACATGATCTCAGATGTGCTGGAAATCATTTCTATCGCCCTGTCTCTGACATGGACCAGGACAGTTCTCCACAAAGAGCCCCACCCCTCTAAAGGTCTTCCGCTACTAGAACACAGAGGGAACACTGCTTCCTTCTCTCCCAGCCTTGCGGGTTGGTGATGACCATCTTTCAAGTCTCTGGCTTACATCAGGCTCTGTACCAGGGCTTCCTGTCTTATTCTGAGCTCCTATGGCCTGGGAATCACCTCCCCATCCCTGATTATTCATCTATTCAGTTAGGTTCTTTTCACAACCTACCCATTGGAGACATGTTAGGAAAATTAACACTTATGGGCCAATAGGAAATGAAACACAACAGCTGGGTAGGGAGCAGATATTAGGGTTGTAGGATCACTCAGAAGGCAAGCAGCGGTAAGAAAACAATACAAAATGCAATGTATGTACTATATATAGTATATATAATATGCATATATAGTATGTCACACACACATACACACACACACACACACACACACA